TATAAAATGTTTTTTGTATGTAACCCAATATAAGCACATTTGTTTCAATAAGTATATGCATGTGCATGGACCCATGGACAATGATTAGGTATGTTATGAAGCATACGTAAGGACAAATTTCAAACTAAGCTTGAAGGTGAAATATTTGAAAATCTGTTGCTAATTGTGGTGACTTCATACTATCCTTACTGTCTCAACATATAATGTACACTGAAGGCTGAAGTTCATCATTAATAAAAATGCATTTTAACCATTCCTCCTGAGCATTTTCATTATTTTCATCTGTCTTTATTTTGATCTCAATAAACCGTCATTGTTTTACCCTTGCAAGAAGCTTTTGAAGAGAAGGACAGGGGGAGTCCAGATTATTGTTTTCTTGTGCTTGCACGATCAGCGCTATATTTAGGACGTGGTTTTGTTAGGAATGGGGCATTTTTAAACCACATGTCTGCTCTGTGATGGTTAGCTGAGGAAAAAGTTTTAGGTTGGTGCAAAAGTAATTGCGGTTTTTGCCATTACTTTAAATGGCAAAAACCGGAAGTAATTTTGCCCCAAACTAATAAATGATCTGTGCATCCCCTTTAGGGGCACGTATAATTGTCATAGGCAGCACATCCCAGCGATGGTACTGCTGGCGGTCACCTTCCTTGGTCCAAGGTTCCTGATTCCTGCCATCTTACATGAGTCTTCCAAGAGTGGGCGCCAGCATCAATACAGGTAAAACCATACAAAGAGGTTCTGACATTTCCTTTCCCTGTGTCAAGTCTGTTTATGCAGTCCCTGGAGTGAGCGAGCCTTTGTCCAGGAAATGATGGTCCCTAAGACTCCTCATCCCTGCCGCATGCTCTAGGAAGGGCTGCCCTGGGGAAAAGTGTCCTTGGGCTTTTGGGCTGAAATTTCACAAATGTTGGTACTCAGAAGCCCAGGGGATCTATGGATGGTAGAACTGACCAGGTTCACGGTAGCCCACCTGATTACCTACTTTGTTATCCTTTTGAAAGCCTGAACCGTTTGGAGTTTGTTGGGGGGGAGTCGGGAAAAGGGGGGAACTCCTTAGAAAATCCGATAGTGATGGCTTCTTGCTTGAGAAAAATGCACAAACAGAATTTCCATCCAGTTTCAGAGGATTCAGCCATCTCCTGAAGCTCAGTCTGAAGAGCTTGTTTAAAAGTGAAAAAGGCAAGTTAGCTTTGGAAGGCCTCTGTCTTTTGTCTCAAAACTTTCTTTGCCTGAAGCCCCTTTGAGTTTCAGACCCTGCTTATTGCACGGAGGTCGGAAGGAGCCCAAACTTTGATTTCAAAGACGTTCAGGTCTGCATCTCCTCTCCAACCCCGCGTCGGCAGTGTCTCGCTCCATGAAACGGATTATGCTGATTGACACCTTGTCACCCGCCCCTCCTTGTCTGCCCTATTCCAGTGTCATTGGCCTTCATGTTTATTCTCCAAATAACTCAGCTCTTTCCCACCTCAGGGCCTTTGCACTTTCTGTTCTCTCAGCCTGGAATGCTCTTCCCATCCTCTTCACGTGACTAACTCCTCACTGTTCAAGGCCCATCTCCAGCGTCACCCCCCCACACAGGCATTTCCTGATTTACACTGCATCTCTCTCTTCTCTGTTTATTTGTAACTTAAAAGTAGGCTGGGCGCGGTGGTTCACGCCTATAGTCCCAGCACTTTGGGAGGCCGAGGCGGGTGGATCACGAGGTCAAGAGATCGAGACCATCCTGGTCAACATGGTGAAACCCCGTCTCTACTAAAAATACAAAAATTGGCTGGGCATGCTGGCATGTGCCTGTAGTCTCAGCTACTCAGGAGGCTGAGGCAGGAGAATTACCCAGGAGGCGGAGGTTGTGGTGAGCCGAGATCATGCCATTGCACTCCAGCCTGGGTAACAAGAGCGAAACGCCGTCTCAAAAAAAAAAAGTATACATTTAGTGGTTTTTAGTATATTTAGAAAGCATACTTTAAGAAAGTATAGTTTGTGATTCAGTGCTTTTTCATACATAGGTTGGTGCAAGAGTAATTGTGGTTTTTGTCATTACTTTTTTTTTTTGAGACTGAGTTTCGCTCTTGTTGCCCAGCCTGGGGTGCAGTGATGTGATCTTGGCTCACTGCAACCTCCACCTCCCAGGTTCAAGCAATTCTCCTGCCTCAGCCTCCTGAGTAGCTGGGACTACAGGTACCCACCCTCACGCCCAGCTAATTATTGTATTTTTAGTGGAGATGAGGCTTCACCATATTGGTCAGGTTGGTCTCAAAATCCCAACCTCAGGTCATCCTCCTGCTTCATCATCCCAAAGTGCTGGGATTACAGGTGTCAGCCACTGCAACCAGCTGCTTTTGCCTATTGTGTCTAATGGCAAAAGTCGCAGTTCCTTTTGCACCAACCTAATACTTAACAAAGTTGTGCAACTATCATCACTACTTACTCCCAGTCCACTATCTACTTATAATAAGGTTTTTGTCACCCTAAAAAAAATCCATATCCATTAGCAGTCACCTTCCTCTCCCCTCTCCGTGTACTCTGGTAACCACAAATCTACTTTCTATCTTTATGGATTTGCCTATTCTGGACATTGGATATCAATGGAATCATACAATGTATGGCCTTTTGTGTCTGGCCTCTTTCACTGGGAATAATGTTTTCAGGATTCATTCACGTCGTAGCAGGTACCAGTGCTTCATTGCTGTGTATGGCTGGAGAATATTCCTTTTGCCTACGTCGCATGTGTCCATTCATCATCTGATGGCCATTCGGGTTGTTTCCACTTGTTGGCTGTTGTGGAAATTGCTGCCATGCCCCCAGGCTCTCTGGATCACATTCCTCTTATTTATTTGATTTGCTGCCCTTGTTTATATACCTAACATGTTTAGGAAAAACTTCTCCAATAGAATATAAGCTTCAGGAAGGCAGTAACGTTGTTCATCTTGGGCACTGCTGTATCCTCAGGGCCTTATATAGTCCGTGGCATGTAGTAGATGATAAATATTTGTGGAAACAATGAAAGAATGAGAGCTGTTGTTATTCTCTTATCTCCGTAGACTCAATCTTTTCCTGTAATTCATGTGGGGCTCTTGCAGAGCTGGCTTCTCACAGCACAGCTGTTCTGAGAAGTATGTGCACTAGTCTGCATAAAGTCCCTGTGTTACCTCTCCCTCACATCCCAGATGTCTTCTCACCAGGTAGTTCTTACCCCATGACGCCATTGCCCCATGATCAACGGTTCCCCCATGCATGCTCGGGGCCTCTATGGCCTTAGCACAGTCTCCCATTTGAATGTGTATCAGATTCTCCCAGACTGCTGGGTAAACTCCAGCTCTGGAGTTTCTGACTCAGGAGGGCTGGATGGATCTGAACATTTGCATCTTAACAATTTCCCAGGTGACACTGCGAGGACACTGACACTGTTGATAGGTGAACTATTGTTTGAGAATCATTGCTGTAATGTGGTAAATTTCAGCAGACAGGCCCCAGCCTGTCTCTCAGTGTGTGGGCTCAGAGAGCTCTGGCCAGGTAACAGCTTGGGGGTATATCCCCAAACACGGCAATACTACTTGTGGGTTTATGCCCTGGAGAACTTCTCCCTGGTACAGAGGAGGCCTGTATGAAGATGTTTATTGGCCAGCTGCGGTGGCTCATGCTTCTAATCCTGACACTTTGGGAGGTGGAGGTGAAAGGATCACTTGAAGCTGGGAGTTTGAAACCTGCTTGGTCAATATAGTAAGACCCTGAGATCGCTACTCTACAAAAGAAAACAAATTAGCTGGGCATGGTGGCATGTGGCTGTGGTCCCAGCTATGCAGGAGGCTGAGGTGGGAGGATCACTTGCACCCAGGAATTTTAGGCTGCAGTGAGCCATGATCACACCTCTGCACTCCAGCCTGGGTGACAGAGCAAGACCCTATCTGAAGAAAAAATAAAAAAGATGTTCATTGCAGTGTTGTTTATCAGGGTCAGGGAGTTGGTGACCATCTAGATTGCCCATAATTATGGAAATGACAAATAGGGCTAATAGTCTGCTGGTTTGCAATGAAACAGTTGGTTTTTTGTAGCTGCCATCCATTCTGATGGGTTTCTGATGGGTCAGTTCCTCCACCAAACTAACTGTTGCATTCCAGCAGGTAAGTGAAATGTGGGGATTGCATATGACGAAATACTATGCAGCAGTTGCAAGGGATGGAAGTGATTCACATTCAGCAATACGGCTAATGCTCACTTGTGAACAAAGGAAGAAAGGGAATGAGGTTTATGATAAAAACACTGTTTACGTAAAACACACATATATAGCAATACCTACGAAATATATATCTTTCAATAACAGTCACATAATCTGAATAAACACATGATGGAGAGTAAAGAGAAAAAATGTGTTCGTAGGTCTGATCTTAGGTGCAATATCTGAAAGTTCTCGGGTCTGTTCTACGTATGAACGCTGAGTTTTTTTTTTTTTTGCTAAGTTTACATCTAATCATGAAGTTCACTGTCATAGGTTGAATTGTGTGTCCATCCCCCTACACAGTCCAAAATTACTGAGGCTCAAATTCCTGTGCCACAACTTACTGGCTCTGTGACCTTGAGCAGGTAGATTCACCTCTCTGAGCCTTTGTTTACTCATCTGCAAGGAGCAATAATCCTCATAATGTGTTTTGTGCTGCTTTGTTTAGTTAAGACATGTAATGCGATTAGCATGGTGCCTGGCTTATGGCAAATTATAAATGTTATCTAGTGTTACTAATACGGGGCCATTGCTGTACATGAAGTGTTCTCTCTTGATACCTAACACTAGACATCTAGTGCACTATTCTGCGTAAAGTCCCTGTGTAACCTCTAATTACAGCCATTGCATTTATTTATGTTTTTCTGTATCCCACCCCTAACTAGAATGGTGGCTCCATGGAGCAATCTGCCTTGCCTTTTGTTCACCAGCTCGATACTCAGTGCATTGTGGCTGCCAATCATTGGGTTCTGAATGAACAGATTTAAATTCATTCTTCTTCCAGGGCTCTTGCAGATGTCATGAGGCCACAGGGCCACTGCAACACTGATCACATGGAGAGAGACCTGAACATTGTTGTCCACGTCCAGCATTACGAGAACATGGACACGAGAACCCCCATAAATAATCTTCGTAAGTACAGCTGCATGAACCATTTCCAGTCCCATGTGGTGACCTGAGCGGTGGTCACATTGCCAGACTTCATGGAGTGTGTGTGAGTTAGTTAAGAGCTTCTCTTTGTGGGCAAGTTAGAAGCTTTCTTTCATCTCTTTTGGATGAAGCTGAATTTGGCATCATCAGATGTCACTTGGTTTCTTTGTTAAATAGCAATCCACTTGGTTGGTTGGATCACATGATTGGTTCTTCTTTTAACTAGTAGACTGCTCAACTGGTTCATGTCGATTGATCTGTTAACTAGATTAGTGGCCCTCTTGGTTGTTTCATCATGGTTGGGTACTTAGTTAAGCAATGGATTATTGGGTTGGTTCATTTTAGGTACTCGGTCTATTAGCCAGTGGTCCATTCGCTTATATGTCTGCCTCCTGAGGTAGACCAGTTGTGACTTCTAGGTTTCCTGCTGTTTTCAGTTATGAAATACTAGTTCAGAAGAATTATGTCTATGATTTGTAAAGCTAGAGTTTCATAAAAATAATCCACAAAATACTCTGTGTAGGGTGTGCAGGGAGTGGGTATTGGATTTTGGTCCTGTTGATTTGAGGTTCCTATGTGTGATTCAGCAGCAGCAAATTCGTTTCCATTGTTCTGCAAGGGGGAAAAAAAACTGTGTTTGCTATTGTGTTTCAATAGGTATTTTTCACAGAGCGTGATTGGGATCTTGGTATACTCCCAAGGCATTTCTTCCCTTTCAAAGGTCTGTATACATAATATATATCACGGAGCTGATGCTCTGCCAGGAGACTGGATGAAAAATAAGATTGTTCAGTTTTTGACAATAGTGTACTACTGCGGTTACCCCAGTAATTATGTTTTCAAGTAACCCCCACGTTAAAGTAATGTGGAAGGCTTGGTTTAAAATAAGCAAAGCCAGACAATTTAAAGGATACATTTAGTTGTGGCTGGAGATTCCTGAAAACAGAAACAATTCTAGTGCTGCACATTTTAACAGACTGGGTCGCCTTTGCTGAGGCTCCATTAGGAGTTGCCTGGGTGTTTTATATGTTGAATCATAGTTCTGGACTGTTTGGTTGCAAATTCTCATGCTCATTGAGTAGAGGAAGAAGCCTGTGGAATTCGACTGAGGCGATGTGAATTCTCTGATTCTACATAGTGATGATTCTTCCTGGTTTGGAAATTGTTGCAGTGTGTTTGTAAAGTCGATGTTTGCATGGTTTAAAAAATGGACCACCAAACAGAATGTCTTAGGCTTCAATATATTAAATAATGTAACATTATTAGTGAACTGGATCACAAAATGGCATAAGAAATAGCCACATTTTAGAGCAAAATACACCAGCAAACGGAAGTTTTATGACCAAATCCCATAGCCCCCAAAGATATGGTAAATGGCATCAATTCTGACATGGCAATTGCTGTGTCCGTTTCTGGCTTTAATGGAAATGAGCACATTTTCTTTCAGTTGGCTCTGGGAAATAAGCTGAACCTAGTCATATGCTTGGGTCCCAAACATCATATATGAATGAACATGATCACGGAGCAGAGAAATTGAAATGGTGTCGAGTCCCTGGCTATAAAAGGCGATTGCTAACAGGTTCTTCACTGGAAGTTCCAATCTCTAGAATGATTTTGAATCAGCACTCAGATGAAATAACAAACTCATTGAAGTCACCCAACTTTCATCCTTCCATCAGGTGGCAGGAAACCTTAATGAATGTTGCTTACATAAGGCGTTTTCATTGAAAGTTGTACTGAAAATGGATTCCTGTTTAGAGATGGATGTCCAGGCTCTAAATAATTCAGAAGTCTCTTGCGCCAGGCTACTTGGGTTTATTTGTGATTCTTGCATTTGGTCTATATTTGTGACTAAGTAATCAGTGATCTTTTACATCAAGGGAGAAAGTTTCTTGTAATAGTCTATTGGGTAGCAGTAGACTAGAGAATTCCTGGGAAGCTACAAAGGAGAATTCCAAGAATCGTGCTACAAACACTGCATTCTTACAATAATTGCCACCGATGTTAATTTTATATAATTCTTCCAGGTTGATCCAATTCTTCTTTCCTAGCAGTCTTGGGAATATCTGAATAACAAAAATAAGAAGCATGTGACCTTTTCACCAGTTTATATTAATAAGCTTAACACATTAATTCAGTAGCTGACAGTAATAATAGATTTATCTTTTTATTGATTTGTAGGAGTTATTTACATATTATAGACACAGAAAAACATTTGTATGTTTGGATGAACAAACGATTTGACGAGTTTGTTGAGAGAATAGGATGAGATGACTGATATGAATCAGTTAAGGGTTTAAGAAGCCAAGCAGTCATCAGAGAACATTTTGACTGATAGCAAAGTAGAAGGGATGGTATCGGTCTGATAAATGGAAAATTAGACCAGCCCTTTGTGCCCGAACCAGTATGCATCCATTTAATTTAAAACCCTTTCCTGAACATTATGGAATCTACAATGATTTGCCATTACACATTTGGAAAGAATGATGCATCTATTTGTGAAACACCAAGAAGGGCACATCATGCCATTTTCAGTTTGCTTTTCACTGAACATCCAACTCACGAGGTTTGACTGGGGATTCACTAGTCTCAAGTTAAATGTCATTTTCATGTCTATTCAATCACCCACTCGACATTGCTTTAAGAAAATGCGAATCTCCATCTATTTATCTCTTCTTAATAATAACTGTAGGTCTCTTTCTATTGTTTCCCTTAAGCTTTAGTCAAGTGGTGAGATAATCAATAGCCAGTGTAGAAATCGGGATATTTGGAAGAAGGGCAGTGGAGAGGGACTTGGGTGAAGACGAACGGGGAGGAAAGAGGACATTTTTGTCAAATTTTCTACATTAATTTTCTGGGGTTGATTTTTCCTATGATATGTTGGACTTGCCTTTTTATCTAAAGTCGGATTTTTCTTCAGCGGATGCTGTTCATGTTCTTTCCAGGCATTCAGTGATATTGCCTAAAAATATTTAGTCTGATAATCAAAAGGGCCTCAACCTCTTTGATTAACAGGATGTAGTTTCCCGTGAGATGGTGATTTTCTGCAAATGTTCCTCAGATTCTATATAATTATCGTTTGTTTTTGAAGGCACATTTTGTCCTGAAGTGCTATGAACATATTCTGCCTCCCCCACCCCGACTTCCCTGGCTGCCAGTGACACCCATCTCCCGCTTTGGGAGAGCAGGCTGCATGTAGGCTCCATTTGGTCTTTTTTTTGAGACAGAGTCTCATTCTATCGCCCAGGCTGGAGTGCAGTGATGTGATCTCAGCTCACTACAACCTCCGCCTCCCAGGTTCAAGTAATACTCCTGCCTGAGCCTCCTGACTCGTGGGGATTACAGGTATGCACCACCATGCCTGGCTAATATTTGTATTTTTAGTAGAGATGGGGTTTCACTATATTGGTCAGGCTGGTCTTGGACTCCTGACCTCATGATCCACCCCTGTGCCTCCAAGAGTGCTGGGATTACAGGCATGAGCCACTGTGCCCTGCCCCATTTGGTCTTCTTAAGAATGGGAGACGTGAGTGAGGGGCTATGACCACAGCCTAGATCAACATTTCTCAACTCGTTTGTGTTTACAGAGCATTTTTTGAAATATGTATTTTGTTTTGGAGTACATTTTAAAATTTACAGCAGAAAGGTTGCAAAAGACAGTACCCAGAAAAACGAATAAGACCTACTGTTTGATAGCACAACAGGCTGACTACAGTCAGTAATAACTTAATTGTATGTTTTAAAATAACTTAAAGAGTGTCATTGGATTGTTTGTAACTCAAGGATAAATGCTTGAGGGATGGACACCCCATTCTCTGTGATATGCTTATTTTACATTGCATGCCTGTGTCAAAATATCTCATGTACCCCGTAAATATATACATCTACTATGTATCAGCAAGCATAAAACAACAGCAGCAGCAACAACAGCAAAAGATAGAATGCAGACTTCTGTATACTCCTCACCCGCTTTCCCCGATATCAACATTTGACATCACCAAGGCACGTTTATCAAAACTAAGAAATCAACATGAGTGCCTTCCTTTTAGCTAAACTGCAGACGTTGTTTTGGTTTTGCTAGTTTCTTCACTGATATTCCTTTTCTGTTCTAGGTCCCGTGGAGGATTGTCTTTAGCAGAGCACACTGATTATAGACTTTTGGTTGGGCAGTATTGCCTAATGATGTGGTAAAGACAGAAAACAACACTACACAAGCCAGAAGCAATCACAGATCCCTGACTGCCACAGTGCAAAATGTGTCACCTAGCGTCTATAAAGACAACTACATAAAATTGCTCTCTTTGGGTCAGTGTTGAAATGGAACCAGTTGCTTGTCTGATTGTGCTCTTGTATATATTCACGGGAGAAAGACTTTCATGTCCCACCCACCCTTACCACTCCTCTTTGAATATGGGTTATACTGTAAAATAAATCATGATGTTACATAATTTATTTTACAGCATAACCTGAGCAAGCGAGAAGAAGTGAGGACTTGGTGTTTTAGAACACAAAATCCATCAGAAAGAGCAGGCTCCTATTCTAGCCCATCACACTTTCACTCCCCTAAGATAATTCCCAAATGGATTTACAAGGAACCCCAAAGCTGACCTATGGCTTAGTTTCTGATGACACTGTATACCTCATATCTAGGACCATTTATGAGTCCGTATTTACTGAGGCACCTGGGAGGTCCTACACTTAACTTTTGAAAATATTACCAAATATTTAACATATTTGGGAGATAGAGCATGGCTCAGACCTGTAGTCTCAGTGCTTTAGGAGGCAGCAGCAGAAGGATCATTTGAGATCAGGAGTTGGAGCCCAGCCTGGGCAATAAGGCGAGCCCCCGTCTCTAAAAAAAGTAGAAATAGGCTGGGTGCGGTGGCTCACGCCTGTAATCCCAGCACTTTGGGAGGCTGAGGCGGGTGGATCACGAAGTCAAGAGATCAAGACCACCCTGGTCAACATGGTGAAACCCCGTC